AGTCTTGGGAATCTCTCCACTCTCTGCTGGACTCAACATCTTCTCCAGAACAGCGGCTGAGGTGGCTCACTGAAGCCTCGTACCTCTGTCACTCGATGGACACACTCAGAGGGGACGAGATCAGCTGCTGCTGGTCTGGAGGTGATCCAGATGAGAGCAGAGGGAAGCAGATTCCCCACAATGAGGTTCATCAGCAGCACATCCACTGAGGCTGATTCACTAACATCACACAACCTCACATTGCTCTGAAAATCCAGAGACAGACGACACTCATCCAGACCATCAAAGATGAACAGCCCTTTATATTCACCAATGGATATTTTCATCTCTTTAGTTCCAGGGAAAAAGACATGAAGAAGATCTGAAAGACTGAGTGTTTTGTCCTTCATCAGGTTGATTTCTCTGAAAGGAAGTGGAAATATGAGCTGGACGTCCTGATTCTCTTTCCCTTCAGCCCAGTCCAGGATGAACTTCTGCACAGAGACTGTTTTTCCAATGCCAGCGACTCCCTTTGTCAGCACAGTTCTGATGGCTTTGTCTTGTCCAGGTAAAGGTCTAAAGATGTCATTGCATTTGATGGCCGTGTCCTCTGTGGCTGCTCTCCTGGATTGTGTCTCAATCTGTCTCACCTCATGCTCATTATTGATCTCTCCACTCTCACTCTCTGTGATGTAGAGCTCTGTGTAGATCTCATTCAGGAGAGTTGGGTTTCCCTGCATCGCTGTTCCTTCATACAGACGCCCAAACTTACTCAGCAGATCTGATTTGAATCTGCTTTGGTCCAGTTGAGAGTCACGACTGAAAGTATAAAATACTAGATTACAACATACATTAGATCAGTAAAAGGGACAGATATCTTTACATCTAGACAGAAATGTTGTACCTCATATTAGATGACATGTGTTTTCCTGTAAATGTTCCTGGAGTGTCCACAGACTGATCACTAATTATGGACAAATATGCACAGAACAGAGACAATACAACTAAGTAGAGATAACGGAAACAATAATTCATATAGGGTCATTCTGTGTTAACTCAGTCAGCAACAAATACTACATTTGTTTTTTTTGGTGAAAGAATTATAGAAATAAAGAACAAAGCAAAAATATTAATAGAACAGAGACAACAGAATAAAGAATAGAATAAAGGGCAAAGAATCACAGTTAATTTGATGTTTAGTTGACATAAAAACTGAAGGACTGTTCTCGAATGTGCAGCTGTGTCTCAGTTGTCCTTACAACAGAGGTTAGTTAACCAAACCCACCATTTTTCAAGGGTCCTGTCTATGTCCATGTCCATCAAACAAAATGATGCTTGCTGATGTACCTGATGATTTTGGAGTAAAATGCTTAAAATGCAGTTCATCATCTTACAAGCTTTAGAATTAGTTTATGTTGAAAACATAAATATAATAGTAATAGAATGGAGATGAGAATATAGTGAAATTACAAGGGGAAAGTGTCAAGAACTCGAGGTATCATTATTCACCATTTAACACACAGGAAAATGTTTAATAGACACTTTGCAGGTGCAAACAGGGGTACATAATGTATTTGTTGTGCGTTTTTAAAAATGTAAAAATTTTAAAAAACGTTGTACCTCAGATCAGTTGATATGTGTCTTCCCTGAAAATGTAATGGTTTTTCTATAGACTGGTTACTCTTCATGGACACACAGCTGGGCTCTGATGAGTTTGATCTGTCCTCCTGAAATTGACTTTAATAGAATAGCGACATTGGAAAAGAGATAATATAATAGAGACAAGAATCCAACTGGTTGATTTTACATGAAAATTAATTCCACACGAGAATGTTGTCTATCCAAACAATAAAAATGCAGAAAAAGTCAACAGATCACTACACCAACCCTGGCAAACACCCTGGTTATGTGGTGTACAATGTATCTTCTATTTAGCATGAAAATCATACGAAGACTTTGACTTACCTGCATCCTGGAGAAAAATCTCCATCTCTGAATGCTTGCGTGTCCTCCATGATTCATTCAGTCTTCATGAATTGGATTTCTGATTTCTAATCAGTAATTAACAACATTTCACTTCTGGTTTAATTAGATATGCACTGATGTTATTGAACATTAAGAACTGGCATCATCTGAATCAGCAGACTTTCTTTGTAAGATATATGTCCGAAGATAATTAAGACAATAATTGATAAGATAAAAAATGCATATAAAGTAGCTATACTTCATGTTTAAGATACATTAAGCATTTCATGGTTACTTACTTTATTGAGGATATTTTTTGTCATGCTCGAAATTGAGTTTTCCCATCAGCATCACGTAAATTCCTACATTACATACATATTCAAAAATCATTGGATACTTGGAATGATCATTATTTCTTAGTTAACGATTCTCAAACACGGGTGTAAAATGGCGCAGCAGATAAAGCACAATGTAGGCTACTTTCACTTTCATTTTTAGTAGCACAATGTGTTCGATCAGCTTTAGAACGACGTTTGGCATTTTATAACTCTTAAGAAAAATTGCACTGCATGTCAGATGATGCAGGCTTATATAATAAATCGAAACGCATTTGTTTACACTTCGTTTTGTGATTTTAGTACAGATAAATTAAGCAGCAGAGTGGTGCGCATGCTCTGAGAACGAGAGGAAGCTGCTTCTGGTAACCACTGCAACTCTTCAGCACGACATTAAAAACACATTACTGCGCAGTAACTCTCCTGTCCCACTGTCAAATAAAGGTGAAAATGATGGTCCATGAAGATAGTCCATACAGTCCTTAGTCCTTAAACAAAACGAAAAACATAAATAAATAATATCCTAACAAAAAATAGTCCAAACAAACAAATCACGGACATCCAGTATCATGGACAAGCAATCCACAACTGATTTCACTGAATAAGGTAATCCTCCAGAAGAAGCTGAGTTTTTCATCACATCATGTACTTTCAGAGTTTCCTCTAAGCTTGTTTGTGTCTGCTCCGGTAGGCCTTCCTCTTCTTCTTCTTCTTCTTCTTTGATGTTAATGGTGGTTGGCAAACCAGCTTTGGTGCATATTCCGCCACCTACCAACTCTGAGTTTAAACTTGAGTCGAGGCTGGGGTGTGCGATATACAGTATATCTTCTGCGATAATATGGTAAGTGTTGTTGTAATGATGTGCGATCTGACATTATCAAGTAGGCTATATCACCAA